GGGGGGGGGGGGGGGGGGGGGGGGGGGGGGGGGGGGGGGGGGGGTTAGCAAGGATAAACAGGGTTGTGCGTATCCGACCCTTGGAGTGTGTACTTGCCAGATTCGCCGCTTGGGACGTCGAAGCACGATGCTACCTCCAACATGTCGGAAGCCCCTAGTTTTGAGCAATATGCCTACTTACACTTCACTCGCACACCGCCCGCTCCTATCACTCTCATTCGCCAGTCCGACCCCCCTCTTCCACGTCCACGCACACGACCCCACCCCCCACACACACTACCGTGAGGTTGGGAGTCAGCTAGAGCACAGGGGTGGGTGCGATCGATTTTCAAAGCGTAATTTTTCCACAACCAGGAGGTTACAGTACCACCACTGTCGAAAAGGGCGGTTTTGGAAATATCTCACCGAGAGCTTTCCTGATAAGTATCTGTTGGCGCTCGCAACCTCCTGCTTGTGGAGAAAATACGCTTTGAAAATCGTTCGCACCCACCCCTGTGCTATAGCTGACTCCCAACCTTACGGTACCCTGTTTTCGTCACTTACCTGGCCGCTGTACATGTACAGCAGGTTCTCCGGCAAGGGGTTCGAGGGGAAGCAGCCGTCTGCGAGGCACATCTGCCCGAAGGCCCTGAACACGCCGTCCAGGAAGCGACCCCTCTCCTTCTCCCCGCAGGGGGCCGCGTGCTGCATCACATACGAGTCCGACACGTCCACCCCGCGCAGGGCAGTGGTCACCAGGATCCCCTTCCGCGCGAGGGCCCCCAGATCCGGGCACGACAGCACCTCCGGCACCCCGACCACCGACCCCAGCATGCCCGCCTTGAACAGGTTGGACCGCACCTTCTCGATGCTCCTCGCCTCGGTGCGGAGATCTGCCGCCCGGGAGACGGCCGCCGCAACAGCGGCAAGCACGCCGGACATGTCTAGGTCGATCTCGGCCCTGAACGCCAGGCGGCGCAGCACCTTCCGGGCCGCGGCGAGGTCGTCCTCGGCGAGCATGAGCTGCCGACGGACGTTCCGCTTGATCACCACCGGCTGGAGGGTCGCCGCCTTGCGGGCCGCCGCCGCCACCGCCGACGGCGTCGGCGTCGACTCCATGCGCGCCAGCACCTCCTCGTCCTCGTCCCGGTCGCCGCCGTCGCCCGCGGAACCCCCCCCCCCCCCCGCCGGCACGCCCCTCTGCAGCTTCGCGTACCACAGGGAGAACGAGTCCCCCTCCGGGTCCACCTGGCCGTCCCCGTACGGCAGCTCGGCCAAGGCGCGGTAGCTCCGGGTAAGAGTCGAGCCCCGGGACACGATCGTGGTCACGTTGTGGAAGCGGACCAGGGGTCCCTCCGCGGGAATCCCCTCGGGCGTCAACGCCTTCTTCCTTCCCCCCCGCCCCCGCGTCCCGTCCTCCACCACCTCCCGATCCGAGCCAGCCGCAAGGGCACCGGCGTCGCCGTACAGCACGGTCGAGTACTCTTCCCCGACCTCCTCCACCACGACGCCGCCGCCGCCGTCCCCATGCTCGTGACCTTCCGTGCCGACAAGCTGTTCAACCGCAAAGTCGTCGTCGTCGTCGTCGTCGTCGTCGTCGTCGTCGTCGTCGTCTTCATCGTCATCATCGTCCTCGTCCACGTGATCCACTCGCCCGCCGCCGCGCACCCTGGGAGCCCGACCGGAGATACGCTTGTTCTCGCGTCGCGCAGCCGGCGATCTGAAAACGAACCTTGACGTTCCCAGGACGACTCGGTGAGGTATCCTCCAACCGAGGAGGCCGACCCCTGCGGGACGAACACGCCGCGCTCTGGGGCCGAGCTCCCGTCGCAGTCGCCGGTCGACGCGGCGGAGGACAAACCACCCCTACAACCAGCACACACGGTAACAAGACGGAAACAAAACGCGAGCGATGATAGCGGGGGTAATGGCAAAAGGAGGAGGGGTTGGGTAAGCGACACCAGGCGAGAGTCTGATGCGACGGAGAAGAAACGTTGCCGGCGTTTGATGCAATGACTCGGCGAATCGTCCGAGGGCGGTGACAAATGCTTCATCAAGCCGTGGAGCTTCACGGGACGTGGCTGTCGAAACCCCTTATTCCACCTCGAACACGTTTCCGGGACACCCTAACGAGCCCGTTTAGTTCGCGAAACTCGCAAGAAAAAACGCAACCACTTACTCCAATACCGTCCACACAAAAATCGATATTCCGTTCTCACCTTTTCTACACGTGGTGGAGGGTTGCACTCCGACCAATACGCCAAGCGGCAGCCGCCCGCGATGAACGCCGCCTGGCGGCAAAGGTCCGGGACCAGCCCCTGCACGCTTCGGGCCGCGTCGGCGGTGTCTTGCACGATCAGCCCCAGCGGCGACCCCCCCTTTATCATCCAGCGAGGCCTGTATATCCTCATGAACCGAAGCTGAACGCGGGGGGCCGAGGGTGCGCAGCGAGAGAGCGAGGAGGCCACACACCAACAGACGATAATTGAAACCCTGAAAAATGCTCTCAACAATTTTCACGGATGGCATAGAAGTGTTTTTTTGCGTGGCATGTTTTTGCCGGCTGCTCTCGTCGCTTATTGCTGTCTTTCTGTTCCATCACATGCTTCGCTTAAAAAGGCTGCATGGCGGCGACTGCGCCGCCGCACGTCTCGTACCATCTCCTGATGGGTGAGAACGCAGCCGCTCTCGGAAACAACAACGACTACATTTACAACAACAACATCAATAACGACAACGACAGCAAACAACCACCAAAACACAGACACACACCGCTGGTGCTCACCTGGTAGCGCAGCCTGAAGAGCGTTGCCCTGACGAACAGCCGGCGCCAGAACCTGAACCGCGCCGCGCGCAGCGCGGTGCCGGCGGCCGCGAGGTGGAGCGACGGCATGCCCAGCAGCAGCCGCCCCTCGTCTCTGCAGAACGTCTCTACCCCACCCTCGTGGGACCGGGCCACGGCCGCCGCGACGTAGGCGATGTTAACGGTGGTCATGACCTTGGGCGGGAGAAAGAGGCCGAGCGCCGTGGAGGCGGCGGCGTAGGCGGCGTAGCCGGGGGCCCTGCGGCCGACCTCCTCGGCGATGGGGCCGACGGCTCGCGTGAGGTTGAAGCCCTTGTTCTTGAAGGGGTCCCAGAAGGAGAAGCTCTCATCATCGAAGCTCACTTTGACCTTAGGGAGGGACGGGGGCAAGGTGGTGAGTTTGGAACAGCAGGTGGATATTTGAAGGATTGCTAATGTGCTGCTGCTGTGCTGCTGAAGTATGATATCGTTCATGTCCGAGAGAGGGCAGGTTTCCTCTGGGATGTCCCCGCGGCACATTTTTTCGAAAAAGAAAGTCCTGTGTTTGGTAGCGCACGTGGATTTTCGCCCACAGATAACCGAAGCTGCTGCGAAGAGTTGCAGGAGGAGAGGAGAGGCTGTGCCTCAATCGCAAGCAGGCGGAGCACACAGGTCCAGTCTCTACTGGTGGTGGTGCGGTTTGCACGCAGGCGGAACAAAAAACAAAAGATCGATCGTGGCGTGTACCTCAACCGCCTACTCGCGGGGAGAACATGCGAGGGATTAGGTGATGTTCACTGCCTCCGCTTCATATACCTTCCCTTATACAGCAACGCGCGTTCATGCGCGGATCCTGAGTGTTGTACGCACATCTACGGTGGCTGCTGCGCCACCCAAACCAGACAGTTAGTACGCAACAGCAGACCGAGAGCACCAACGGCAGACCGAACACTAAAAAGCTAGCTGCAACCTTGCACAGAAATTGAAAACCCCAACAACCCATACCTGCTTCTTCGTAGCTGGCGCCTGCGCTCCAAATTTCCACTTGCTTGCGTCCACATTACATGCTTTCGCCAGAAGCACTAGCGCTAAGGACACAGCATGAGCTAACGGTGGCCGCATGAGAGGGAAGGAGAGCCGGGAGCCTTGCGTTTATGACCCGTCGCCGTCGCAACCCGTCCCTCCCCCCTCTCAATCTCATTTTGATTCGAACCCATGAAACGCCACCCGGGATACATCCAAACCTACATCCACGGAGCCTCCAGGCGCTAGCGCGTGAACGAGCTCACCGGGTCGGGTCGGGTAGGGTCCTGCTGCCGTGCTGTACGCTGTGTTTGGCTGGCGTTTCGCTATCACATCAACCATGAAGGCACCAGTTTGCGTTGTTCTCCTCTCCCATTGCTGCGCCGCGTTCACGCTCTCGCCAGCGACATTGTTGTCCTTGCAAAGATCATGTGCCTTCTCCGCAGCAGAGCATGTGAGCTCTCCCCAGCGGAGCTGCAGCAGCAGCAGCAGCAGAAGCAACAGGTGCCAACCTGATCGACGAAGGCAGCGACCGCCTGGTGGTTCTCGCGTTCCTAGTTTCGCCCTGGGTGAGTTCTTTGATGTTGGCATTTTGTGTCATGTTGTGATGTACATGCAGTTTCATGCCACTTGACAGCAGTGACCCCAACATCAACGCGATGCTTAGCCTCAGCAAGTCCGCCCGTACTGCTGTAGACTTTAGCTGTACGATGCAAGCACAGCCCTCGTTCTGTGTCTGACTGTCTCTCTCCTTGGCTGTATGTATACGTTGCTTGGTCGGTATCGAGATCAACGATGAAGATGCCCATAGGCACGTTGACATTTTCCATCTTGGTTCTTAGCGTTTTCAGACGATGGCCATCACACGAAACAGGACTTGAAAATTTTCCTACTACGGTAGAGGTCCCTATTTAGTGCCGGGGTGTGCGCCGAAATTTCACCGGCACTAAACCGGACACCGGCACTATTCGAAGTACAGAACGACTTGGTATTCCGACTTGGTATTCCAGTGTGTGCGAACCGAAAACACCGGCACTATTCAACCGGCACTAAACAGGGACCTCTACTGTACTCCAAAGTGTACTGATGGGTAAAGGTAGTCCATAGCAGACCTACTCTGTAACACTCATAGCGCTCCGGAGGCACCGCACCACGTTAAATCAGAAGTCTTCGAAAGAGAAAAGACTGTGTGTGCTCATAGCTTTGAGTGGTAAACCGCCAACAATGCAACGTTTCTCTTTTCATGCTGCGTCTTGCTTCCGCACCGCGAAACGAATGAAGGTGCAGCTAAGGACTGGCTCAAAGGAGGCTCTCAAGGGAAGAGCGGACCGGAGGGACCCAAGACCGGATCTGTTGCAGGTGGAGAGAGAGAGAGAGAGAGAGAGAGAGAGAGAGAGAGAGAGAGAGNGAGAGAGAGAGAGAGAGAGAGAGAGAGAGAGAGAAGATAAGAAGCGGGCCAGTCGACCTTTGTGACTGACCTATCTTGCACCTGCAGAACGTGCGCACACCGATCCAGTCCGTGCCTCCTTGCGTTGGGAGTGCACAATGCAACCCTCGATGCCCTTTGAACCGACCCTGCCGTAGCAAGGGATGGCGGCCGGCTCGGGTGTATAAGGCGCGCTCTAGTACAAAGGGGCTCTACAATTTCACGATGCTCTCTTTCGCCGGAGTCGGGGGCCTTTTAATCGATTGGTGGCCCAGAGGTAGACAGACAGCTTCGTATCCAATATCTGCCTTAGCTTCGCTCCGTTCGCTTGGAGCGCAATCGCTGGCGCTACACAATGCCGTGCCGTCGCGAGTACCTAGCAAACAGAGGCACCGCTCCCGGTCTCGCCGGACGCCGTCCTTTTCGTGGACTCCGTAGCTACCCTAATCAGACGAACTTCCGCCCTCACATGCGAATACAACACTACATGACGCTTCGCGCAGCAGGGACATCGGGCAAGAGCGGAGAGGTCAAGAAGGGTCCCGACGGAGAAGACCTGGACCCCCGTCTCTACTCAGTCAGGATCGCACGCGCCACCGGGATCGAATGGGGCACGGACATCAGCTTCTCGTGGGTGTACATCCGGGCCCTGCAGCCGGACGGCGCGGCGGCGAACTGCGGGGAAATCTCCGTCGGAGATCAGGTGCGCCCGTTGCATCTTCTGTTGCTGCTGACCTCTCTGCAGCGTAGCTATAGCAGCGCTAGAAGTCATTTGGTTGTTGTTGGTTTCTCCCCGACCCTTTCCTGCCTCTTTTCATTTCCTGGTGTATCGTGCCAGCAAACGGGCTGCATGCACCAAAGCGATTGCAAACAGCAGCAGCAGCAGCAGTAGCAGCAACGGCTGTGCGCGTTGGCTGAAAGGCCATGCCGCCAACGGGGTGAGGTACGGAGACACAAACATATTTGGGCGTTTCACGCCTCAGCCCTCAATCCCCTCCGTCCGTCTTCCTATCCCCGATGCGCACCACCCGTAGCTAATTGCAATAAACGACCAGACGTTGACCGGGGCACCTTTCGACGTGGCGATGGACGCCATGATTGCTCTAGAGGGCCCCGACGTCGAGTTCACCTTCTTCAGGGGCTCGACGGAGGAGCTCAAGGAGGTGGTTGGTGAGTCAAGCAGCTAACTCTCGCTCGCTGCATGCACAGGGGTTTGGTTCCTTGTACTGCTCTCGCAGTACGAATGCAAAGTGTAGGAGGAACCACTGGCATAGGCTGCTTGTGTTGTGTCTGTCCTTCCGAGAGCGTGAATAGTTGGTCGAAAATTGAAGGAAGAAAAGTGTTTACACCGAGGGAGCTCCACGTCGATGGTGGTGAACATGAAGAAGATCTAGCCAAGATGCCCCGTGTGGAAGTGTTTTCGCAAGGGACGGCTCTGCTTCTTTCACTCGAGGCGTCAAGAAGCTATTTAGAACGGCGATTTGTTTAACCGCATCGTGGCGCGGCTTGTTCGCACGGGAACGCTCGCGCCCTGCTGAGCGAGCGCCAGGTACCAAACGTGCCGACCCTGTTTCCTCCCCTGCGGCGTATTGCATATGCCACTTCCTGGCCCGAGCGGAACTCCTAGAGCGATCATTGCGTTCCTCCGGTGTTTGCTGCCTCCTCTACACCGGCCCATCATCGGACTTTCTCTCCCGAGCGGCATGTTTTTGATCACCGACACCGATCCTCCTTGACGTCGCCGACGCACACATGCTCCACACATCCGGCAGGTGCGGAAGCCCCCCGGGCAGAGATCACGGTTACCGTCAAGCAGGAAGGGAAGCCGGAGTTGGTCCTCACGGCGCCCTCGGGGGCCAACCTCCGCGACTTTCTCACCGAGAACGGCATCAACGTCTACCAGTCCGTCACGCGCTGGACCAACTGCAAGGGGAAGCAGCTGTGCGGGTGAGAGAGAGAGAGAGAGAGAGAGAGAGGGAGGGAGGGAGGGAGGGAGAGAGGGAGAGAGGCGCGCTAACGTACGAAATTCCGGAAGCATGTGTTTTTTGAGAACGTGCCGTGAGTGTTTCCGCCGGTGGGGAAGGCTGAGATTTTTCTTTTTGACGGCGTCGACTTTGTTTTTTCGTGGCCGTCCGACCGAAAAAATGTGTCATGTCGCTCGTCGAGTGTACGAAAGTGTGTCGAGCTGTTGGGGCGTACTGTCTGTTTCAAAGTGGTGTGGATGATGGTTGTTTGCCACGAATACGTGCTTTTGTGCCTGCTGCGTGCGTTCGTTGTTGCTTCATCGACCCCCACGCAAAATTGTTTCCTATCGGCATGCATTCCCCTCGTGACGAACATGCATGTTTTGTCTCGCTTTGCACCTATGCGGACGTATCTCTCCAGTCTACCTTTGTGTACCCTTGAGTTCCTCTGCTTGACACATCTTCTCTCTTGTTCCCTCTCTACCCCCCTCCCCTCTCTGTCTCTGCCTGACTCTTCTTCTTCGCTGTTTCGTCATTGGTGCCGCGTGTTTGTCTCTCCCGCTATTTCTCTCTCCTCTCCTTCGCGGTACACAAAAGCACGTGCATCGTGGCGATCGACGAGGGTTTGGAGGGCACGACAATCCGCTCGGTCGACGAGAGCTCCACGCTCAGAGACAACCCGCCCAACTACCGCCTATCGTGCGTCACCAACATGTACGACGACGTGACGGTCACGGTTTTCCCGCCAGTTGGGGCCGCTCAATGGACAAGATGAAAACAAAACAAGCATTTCGGCGACCCTCGGGTCGTTTGTCGGCGTGGTTGCGTTTCGCCTGCAGAAAGCGACGCGCCGGGGGACAGGGGGGGCAGATCGTGGACGTAGCAGCAGCACTGCAATGAGAGGGTGGGACACCTACACAAGCCTGCCAGATTGTTTGCTTTGTGTTTTTGTGGTGCATGTCCCGGGTGTTGGCAAGCGCAGTTGTGACGATGTGTATCGCCTTTCGGTGGGGGACGTTTTGCGCACCTCTTTCGCTTCTCTCTGTTGTTGCAAAAAGTCGCTGGTCACTTCACCCGGCTCTTGTAGGATGTACGGTTACCAAAGTTATGGGAACCATAGCTCGCTGCTGCAGCAAGAGAAGTGGCGCTGCTGCTGTTGTTGTATTTACACTCTACCCGTATCACGTATGCATAAGCTCAAAATTGAGTCTTGTGTTCGCTGTCGAGGAGCTTCGAACCGAGGTTAGGTGAACTATTCACTCCAACAACGATTTTAGTTTTTTGCGAGCAGACACCATTTCGTAGCAGGATTGCTCGTTCTGAGTAGTGTGTCGCCCATCAAGCTACAAGCTACCCGCCCGGTCAGTACGTGGATGTAGTGAAGCCGCCTCACGCGGTCAACAAGCAAAAGCGCATTCCAGCCCTTGATCAAAACTCGCGAAATCCCGAAAGGCGATTCTGAATCCAGTTCCTTGAGGTGTTTCAACATGTCCATTCTGAAGCACTTTAGTTTAAGTGTTTCAGGTTCTGATTGTAACAAAAGAAAACCAAACGATTATGGAACCCCTCCCTCCCCCCAATTTTTTACGTTCCGGACAATCTTGTCGCTCCACATTTCGTAAGGAAATTGCGGAGACGGGGGACGGGGGAAAGAACCAAAATCGTCTTTGAATGAACTGCCACCCTTTCCTGCTGGCCCAGGCATAGCAAATTTTGAGTCTCCACAACCGGGAGACGCTTTCAAAAAGTTGCTTGGAACATCACCCAGACGATAGCATCACTCTGATGCACAGCAGCACCATCGCACATCGTGCACTCCTGCATGTTACAGGTACCAACATTTGCGCACATCCCTTCCCCGTGTTTCTTGGTTCACTGTGTTCACTCCAAATATTGTTGCGCTTGGGTATTTTTTTCTTCCCGTGCGCGTTTTTTTTTTTCCTTTTTCTACCGCCGCTTGCCTGGTCGGTTCCGTACTTCCAACAAACCCACGAGATATTTTCTGTTTTTGAAGCATACACGAAAACAACGCCTCCCTTGCGTTTTGGTTCCGTTCAAACTGACCTGAAGTATCTCATTTGAGAGACGGTGAGCCCGGTCGACGCTAATGCTGCACCAAGAGGAAATGCAGCACGAGCATGCACACACACACACACATGCGCGTACGCGAAAAAATGCAACATGGTCCTCTCACACTTCCTTGTATGCGACAGACTGACACCGTAGGACTGACGCCGCCCTACCAGCAACGACACAACGCCTGCACCAAAGAAAATGGAAGATGACCCACCAAAAGCCTGTAGGTGTGTTTCACCTATCATCTAGGATACGATTCTTCCCTCCCGCCCGCCCCCCTGGGGTACGCCCAGTACTTCTCCCACGCTTTTGCGGGCAACGAACAAAAACACACGACACGGCAGACACCGTGCATACGCCGTCGTCGCTTGCTCTCCCGACACACCACACGAAGTGGACCACTGGTGTAACGAGAGCCTACCGTCGGCACAAACGAACGATTCTTGCGGCACTATGTCGTCGCCGCCGCCGCCGCCGCCACAAGCGGCAAAATATATATCCTTGACTTCTTCGCCGAACGGCCGTGTTCAAACCGGACAGACAACCAAGAGCTAGACATCACACGTTCTTCTGACTGGCTCGCGCAGACCGCGGCCGGGGACGACAACCAGACGCGCCTCGCCCCTGCACGTGGATAAATACCCCTTTGGAGCATCGTCCCCCCCAGTCAACCATTGCTAGCAGTCCCTCGGCTGGTGGAGACAGAAAAATAAGCGTAAGGATAACTCGGAGCCGCAACACGGACCCTTTCGATGGCCGCGCTTTTTGCCTTGCTTCTCAAGACGAGAGGAAACCACGGGCTCCCCACCCTTTTTTCTATTTGTTAAAGCCACGGGCGCTGGTTGAACGCTACATAAGCCGGCATTTCTTTTTGTTGTTTTTCCTTGTTTCCATATCGATCGGCATCTTCTTGTATCGTCACCGTCTCCGTCGCCTCAAAATAAAGCGCACGACAAACGCGAAAGACGGCGAGAGCTAGACCATCTACATAGGTCAATCTTCTTCCATCTGCGAAGACCGAGCAGGGATGCAAGTACCAAGACAGGAAACAAGCCGAACCAAAGTAGTTCACTAGGGAGAGCCTGAGTAGAAGAAAGAGACAATAATACAATAAGAACGAAACCAGCCAAGATCAAACAAAACAAAGCAGCCACGGTCAAGATGATCGAAGACCACAGCAGTCGCACGACCGACCGACCAAGAGACCAAACCAACCGGGAAAAAAAACGAGGCAAGAGAAGCACAGCACACACACGAATCCTGTCGAACACAAAACAAAACTAACATTGGAGCCGAGAACCACGCGTACCGCAAAGCGTTAAAACTTGAAGGAGTCCTTGTAGCGCTTGCCCTTGTCGGCCGCCTTCTCCTTCTCTTTCTTCTCGAGCTTGCGCTTGCGCTTACGGTTCTCCTCGGCCACGATATCGCTCACGTCTTCCTTCCCCTTGGCGCCGCCGACGGACGCGGCTGCTCGCTCCTGCTCCTCGAACCTAGAGGACAAGGGGAAGAGGAGGGCAGGGCGGTTTTGAGAAGAGGGCACGGAGGTCAGCTGAGATGATAGGCAAGACACGCTGTTGGGAACACAAACAAGAACGAGCAATTGTTATCCCCCCCGTCGTTCCGCACATTCTTCGGCGGAAACGAGAACGCACCCAAAGACAAAGCCCCACTTTCCACACAGTGAACCGAAAAAACAAAGGGCAGCAGCCAAAACAACCCCCCTCCCCGCCCCAACAATTCCGAACACCAAGTCCAATATTTGGCAGGAGGCGCGCAAACCCTTAGCAGATTTCCTCCACATCCCCTCTCATCTCGAACGCGCGTTCATTTGTTTCTCTGGCATTGCATGCGCGTAAATCATTACTACCCTACCGCAGTGCAGCAGAAAAACAAAATCCTCATTACAAATGATTCTTCTTCTCACTTCTCCCGGAGGCCCTCTTCGTCGTTGAGCTGCTCGTCCACCTCGTCGGGGTTAAGGGACACCTGCACGTCCCGCGGGGGTGCCTCGGTAGCGTCCCCGCCCAGCCCCGCCGCGCCGCCCCCGCCGGCCTTGGAGCCGGGCAGGACGTACTTTCGGTCCCCGCCGAACAGAGCCCCGGCCCCCACGGCCGAATCCCTCGCCTGGACCACCTTGTAGAGCTCCTGGGGCACCGCGGACAGCCCGGTCGTGTCGGGGGTGTCCACCCCGGCCCTCTTGCGGAGGTCCATCATCGTGTCCGGCGTCTCGAGCCCGGAGACGCTCGAGACGCCGCCGCCCTCGAACATAGGCGTCTCCGCCCCGCCGTCTTCCTCCTCCTCATCTTCCTCCTCCTCCTCCTCGTCGTCGTCGTCGTCGTCGTCGGATTCGGCCAAATCTCCCCAGTGAGACTTGTCCATCTCTTCGACGTCGTCCCCGTCCTTCGCGGCCAGGTTGAACACGTCTATATTGATCGTGTTTCCGCGTAGTTTTTCATGTTCCGTTGAGGACGGTCGCGGCGGGGGGGGG